CCGGAATCGGGCCGAAATGTGCAAATCCTTGCGACCACTGATTTAGATATTAAAATTAATAATACCTGTTCGTAAATCTTCAATAATATCACCCACTATAGAATTCTCATCTCTGTTTGTCACAGCAGCAATTGTATTTTCTTAGAGTAAACACAATAAAATTTACACGTCATTTTCGTTTTATACTTGAATTTCTGAGAGATATATACCTATTTTCTTTGTCGGATTTATCCATTATTTTGGTTGAAGAGATATTATTTGTATTGAAATTTGCACCCTCTTCTTCATTTATAGTAATATCTTTTCCGGTAGTTATATTATTATTGTTTGGTTCTTCTGCGTATATTGACAAATATTTATGTACAAAAATTAAATAAATATGAAATAAAAAATATTGTTCACAGTTGAAAAATAATAAAAAATAGAAACCATTATTAAGTGTTTGTAAAAACAAAGTTGATACTACTTCATAGTGAAGTAGTTCATGGATTTGCTTGGATTTAAAAAATAGTAATACATATGTGTGTGTTAAATATTGTGTATTATTTGGAAAATGTGAGTCGTATTAGTGATATTTATTTGAATTTATTTTTAATGATTAGTATATTTTACTTGTCCGTAAATCATGTTGAATTATCGAAGGAGGCGGTGTCATTCTTAATGAATCGGAACTGTCAGAGTGGACATCTTGGCTTTTATACTTTCTTTTACGTTTACCTTTTCCCAGCTCAAAACATGATGTTTCGGTATCTGTATTTGATTTTTTTTTTTTGCATAATTTAATGCCTTCTCTAGGAGTCTGCAATTAGAAAAAGTAACAGTAGAGAAAGAAAAACATATTTTTAATAGATTTAGGATTATGAAACTATTATTCGTGCTCTGCTTTAAGGCATCTTATGCTGTCCTTTATTTAATTTGTATTAAAAATAAATTTTGAACATGTTATATCAGTTATATGTAAATTTTCTTAGAAGTTGTTGAATTACTGACTACATGAATAAACTAAAATAATAAATTATAATTCAAATGGAATCATAAGAATAAATCTAATTAAGCAACAGAAATGACCATTTTCAAAGTGGATTTTACTGCTTAAACGTTTATATGCGAATTTACATATGTATGTACATACCCAATTCTGCAAGCCGCACGTTGGCTTGCACTTTTTCAATAATAAAACGCAATCATAAACAGAACCAGAGCAATAATATCACATATTAAATTGTTAAGCAATTTCATAATTGATGCTAATACGAGGTCTGTCCGGAAAGTATCCGACTTCTGCGTATATCTTTGTCTTTGGGCATCCAATTATGGAAAACAGGTATTCAGTATTTAAAGTGGACCTTTAGGGGAATATCCTCACCAAGCGGCACGATCTAATAGCTGTTCAGTCGGCAACGGTATGTAGTTATGTGAGCGTCGAAAATTCCGAGCGGCGCATTTTACAATGGCTACGTTTACACCGTGCATTTAGGCCGTGGCCTATACAATAGATGTCTTTGTTTATCCTGTAGGTTAAACAAAACACCTGTCGTATAGGTCGCGGACTAAGCGCACGGTGTAAACGTAGCCAATGACTATACGATATAAACAATAATATTTAATTGATAAACTCCTTATATTTAATATAAATCTTAAAAAACTACAAATAATTTAAATAATTTTGCGAAAAATATTGCCTTAAGAGTTCAACGCGCGGATTACAGAATTGGTAATTCACACATAACCGTTTAAGCTAAAAGTAAGATTTGCTTTAACGTAAATAACGAAAATAAATAGTATTTATTTTTGTAATGTTAAAATTATATCATCATATTTCATTAAAATTCTTACCAATTTGAATAAGAATGTGTACTGTGTGCATATCCCAGTTGCTGTTTAGTTGTACATTGTTCCGAATACATTTTCTAAGATTTTTAGGCGGCCATTTACATACAACGTGGTCTTTCTTAAATTCCAGCCATGAAGTTGGTACAACTTCAATTTCATCAAATTCTACAAATTCAACGACTGACCATATCTAGAAACAATGCCAGAAATTAAGTTTTAAATTAAATTAATTATTATTATATTTTATATAAAGTTTATTATTATATTGTTACGTCCGTCCGTCTCACGAGATCCGCACTCCCGATTCGCCGAAATGAGTCACTCGTGAGTATAAAGGTGTTAATAAACAGATGTTTATTAACAATCACAGGACTTCAGCGTGATACAATTAAACGTGATAACCAGATAAATATCTCGCGTAGAGAGAAACACGTCCGTTCGTGACGGAGACTCTCTTCCGAGTTGTTTAACAACAACTCCGCGCTTGTCGCCAAGCAACGCGCTCTTCGTTCTTCAGGAACGTGCAACGGGCGACGACTCATCTCAGGCGTAACGGGCGACACGATTCGGACATAACATTGCCCTCCCTCTTATAAATTGTCGTCCCGACAATTCTTGAAGAATAAGAAACGCTCAGG